TATATTTTATTCAAAAATAAAAACATTATCATTTTCTCAAAATCACATAAAGCCATATTATAATATCGACTGAGATAAAGAAGAAAATGAAATATTAAAATCATGATGTATCTCGCTGCATTGCGCGAGTRCKCTTCTAGTATATATATATATATATATTTATAAAAACAAAGTATCATACTTAAAAAAATATAGGTGATACGAATTACAACAAAATTAGATTTATAGAATGACAAATTTTTTTAACGGTCTTAATAAACAACTTTATAAGACTTAATTTATAAAAAAAATAAAAATAAAATGTTACATCTAAAGGCGTTATAATAAGTTTATAAAACATCTTTTTATCGTTTTAACAAGTTTTTAAGACAATTTAATACAATACATCATATTAGTTATTTTATATGACTTTTTTTTAGAAACGTCGTATAAACCCATCTTTTTATAGAAAACTTATTATTTAAAGACACCTTTTCAAATATTGTTATCTAAAATAGCTAATACGACAAATTTTTATTAAAAAACTTGTTACAATATCTAAAAACGTTCTAGAAAATTATTACAACACTTGACACGGATTCTATTTTTAACAACAAATATTCGTATTTTATGCAATTCAATCTTGTATGTAGTTTAAAATTATTAGGATAAGATATTAGGTCCCAATTACAAATTTTTCTCACACCTCGTACTCCTCGAAGTCGAATGCTATTTGAGGAAGAAATCCTCTTACATGGCACTCCCTAATTTTGCGGAAATCATAGATACAGTTGCCATCGAATCGATTCTTACGACGCGTATAAAGACTTGAGAACAACCCTCTTCTTCAAAAAACTAGCTCATAATCACAATTATACACACCGCCGGCGAACAGACAGACACTCCCCACGGCGGCGCAACCACAAACCCACCGTGGCTCTCAATATGGGCATGAAGATGATCGGAAACGCTAACACCGAGAACTTTGTCAGGGGAAACGCGAGCTTGATTGCCGAACATCTGGAAGAAAACCCTGATGGCGCCACCAGTCGTTACCACCGTGTCTACAAGTGTAAGGACTGCGACAAAGAGTACGATAGCTTCCAAGCTCTCGGCGGCCACCGAGCCAGTCATAGGAAGCTTATGAAAGAAACTGGGGCCCATTGTTCTGGGCTTCAGTTTCTGGAAGAAAGCGGTCCTAAGCTTCACGAATGCAGGATCTGTGGGAAGGGGTTTGCAATCGGGCAGGCATTGGGAGGGCACATGAGGAAGCATAGGGAGATGAAACTCGACACTGGGCAGAAGGATTCACTGCACAATAATGCGAATGCGAAAATCTGGAACACGACGGTTGTATCGTGCAATCCGGACTCTTCTTCGGTCACGAGTGTTTCAAACGGTAAAGTAGTCTTCAAATACGATCTAAACTTGTTGCCACACGAGAACGAATTCATCAACGCTTACTGGGGTTCGATCAAAAAACGTAGATATTTTTGATTGATTTTATCAAATTACTAACTACTTATCCTTCTGTTCTTATGATCGTCAAGATATAAATATGTACACTCAGATTTTGGATATTAAATTACGGGATCGACATGAATTCATGTTGGTTTCTCGTTTTTATTTTATTTTGTGTGTCTTTTGCAACATAATTTATGTCAAAAGTGATGAAAACCCACAAAAGAAAACGTTGAGTTTATTAGCGACGGAAACGAGGGTCACAAAAGGCTTCTTCTTTCGTAGTGCTATCTTTCTACAAATAAAGCTTGCCTTCTGGAAAATAAAACCCTTCACCATGTTATTGATCGGTTTTTTGGTTCACTTATCGGATGGAATGAATTATGTTTTTTTACAAAAGTCCTTATTAATTTATTATAAGTTAGAATGGTTTATTTTTTTTAAAAACTTCTTATTACCAGTTTGACATCGGTGTAAGCTGTTTATCCAAACAGTCAAAAATGTTTATTACCGGTGTCATAGCGAAATAAGTCAATAAGTTGTTTTCATAAGCAATCCCAAACACCCCGAAAATTCTTTATCTATCAATTATGTAAATTCACATTATTCATTTATTATAAAAATAATGAAAAGTAAATTAAATAAATATATATTAAATAAAATGTAGTCATAATTTCAGATAATTGATGGACAACGATATAGTAAAGTTTGAGATAATATATTGTTAAGCCCTGGTGTTGCTTTGGGCTTAACAATTCAGATGCAGTTATGGGCTTATGGCTAGAAATAGGGCTTTATAAGTTTTGGGCATTTAGGTTATGGGCTGAACCATACTGAACAGTTCACCTATCTGCTAGTCATGGGATTCTTCAACTCTTTCATTTTCAGGAAATTTACAATACTAGTCCCTCAACATTATTATCTCTACATATTTCTTTCTTTCCAAACTTTAATTTTCATTTTTGGTTACTATATAAATCTTTATCCTTACTCAACAATCTGAATTTATATGTTAAAAATGTTTTTTTTTTCTTTTTCATTTTGGGTTAAAATGACTATTATACCACTCAAATTAAACATTTGTAGTTCATCATATTTTGTTGCTTCACCTATATAAAAAAACATGTTTTTGTTAAAATTCTCAATAATTCATAGCTTTTATAGTCTCGATATTTTGTAGTTTTTAAGAGTTTTACATAAATATTCATAAGATAATACAATATCATTACAAAAAGAAGAAAATGAACGGAAACAGAAAAGTAAAAGACAAGGTTTTACTCAATTTTACTCTTATCTTCTAAAACCTTTTATTAATACGATGAAAATAAATAACAAATTCCATTATAATATTGTTAACTTTTTATTACTTAATGTATTATAAACTACAAAATATATTTAAAACACTTTATTACGTATTATGTAGAGCAGTTTATTATGTTTATTAATGTAAATATTATAAAATTTAACGTTACAAATTTATATAACTTATATATAATTTTTTTTTAAAAGCTCAAGTGCTGGATTGTGCTCTCCGAGCAGAAGTTGTCCTCAGGGCTTAGTTGGGAGAAGGAATAACAAAACCTAGTTCATTGGCTGAGTCTCGTTACATCCATAGCTGAATGGACTATAAGGCCTCTAAACTCCTCCCTCAGGACACTGTTATATTTCCCAAGGGGGCGGACTAGCCCTGACTTCCATAGGTCCTTGGTTCGACCTCCTAATGAGAGTTGAGGTTCTTATGTGGACGTCTCATCCCTAAAACTTGTTTACCTCTTCTGTGGAAAAGGCTTGCGCTCCTATATGGGGCACATTGCGAGGGGCGTTCCATGATTGACCGAAAACAATTTCAATTAATAAACTCCATACATGAGTATTTTATTCTGTTTAATTTAATACTCATATCGGTATCTTTATTTTTCAATTTTTTCTACTGGTATTTAAAATTTGATCACAAGTATATTCAAATTTCATGTTTACAAGTAATTATTTCATACATGCAATTTCATAAATCTCTTTGAACTTCATGACGCTAACTAACAATCACTTGATAAACGCATTCAAATAATCGTTGAGTGTTACTGATACGACATAATACTCCAACATTATCATTATAAAAAAAAACTACTTCATTAAAACTAAAATAATTACATCTTTATTTTAAAATCTCAAATATTTTAATTAGAATAAGGTCATGAATTAAATAAATTATACCAATAAAATGAATATTTTATAAACTTTGATTCATATTAACAACACATGTTCAACTAACAAATGTAATTTCTACTTTATTTAAGAATAAATATCTGAGGAGAAATTGCTGTAATTTTTCATTGTATGTTTAAATAAATTTCGAATTTTGTTGTATCGTATGAGTAAACAACTAGTTTACATCAATATATTTATCATATTATAAAGCATTTATCTCATATTTTTAAATATTATAAAATTATTATCGTATAAGTTCAACCTTTTAAAACTTCATGTTTGAACTTCATAAAACTAACTCATAATCAACTGCTAAACACATTAAAGTACCAGATAAAACATTGAGCCTTACTAATACGACAATAGAATTCAAATAACTGATAACCAACCGAAAACACTCTGTCTATTAAAACCATAAAAATAAAATCGAGAGGGACATAGAATAGAACGAAGAATGAATTAGGATTCCGGGTAAGAGTTCTCTACTTCAGAATTGAGATGTATCGCGTTGCATTGCAGAGATACAATGAAAGTTGTATGAAATGAGTATCAAAAGGAGACTTCATGTTTTATTCATGATAAATAACCCTAAATAATCATGAATATTATGTATTTTCATTATTTATCATATCATAGGGAGTTCCAAATACAGACCGTATAATTATTACGAATCTTACAAACAGTGTAATTGTTATAGATCCTACAAACCAAATATGGGATCTTGATTTTGTTTATTTTGAAATCTAAAGGTGGTTATTAAATTAGTTCAAGATGAAGTTGAGAGTAAATTTAGGAACCGATTTAATCTACACCGTTGATCATCTACATAAACGATTAAGACCTCGTTTACTTCTCCCTAGAAGTTGTTTATAGAAGTGCGCTTAGATTTGTTTATATGGTTTACAATTACATGGTTTGTATTTGAAACTCCCTATATATAGGTGTAGGTTCATATAACACCCGTATTTTTTTGATAACAATCGGGAAAATGGTCGAAGAACGGTCGCGAAAAGGATCGGGGATCGTCCAGGAAACGGTTGGAGAACAACTGGAGAACGACATGGCATGACATGGCACAACATGACGTAGGAACACGACACGGTCCTCCTGGGGGACTTGGCCCAAGACCTAAGTCGCGACATAGGTCACATGAACCACTATTTATAGAGTGTGAACGTGGGCGTTCAACCACACGATTTTGGTTGCAAGCAGGGTCGTGTGGAAGGTCTGAAGTGCTTAAAATCAGATTTTTGGGGTTTTTTGAAGCTCTTCAAGGGGATATTGAGAAATATTAAAGTTTGCTTGGTGATTTGAGGTTCCTAGGAGTTAAAAGGTAAGATATATATATATATATATATATATATATATATATATATATATATATCTCCATCTTTGAGTTAGGGTTTGGTCCCTTTTCACCCTCAACCCTCATTTCTTATTTTGTGGTATACTTTGTTGATATATCAGAGCAGGGGAGGAGTTCTTGAGAGTTTGTATCATAGATCTGGAAGTCTAACTTAAGGATCTCAAGTCTTCACCAATGGAAAAGGTACAGGTTTGGATTTGGAGCCTAGGTTAGCAAGGTGACTTCAGGTTGTTTTGTGAAAAGTTTGTACATGTAAGAAATGTTCATTTTGAAGTCTTAAAATATTTTCCTTGATGTTTATCAAATTCCTTGTTTATTTGACGAAATTTGTATTTTTGGTATATTTGATTTTATAAATCTTGTAAAATTTCTATATTTGTGGTTTTGAACATTTTGATAAATAAATCATAAAAGTGTGTTCTTTTGATGATTTATTTTATAAATAAAGATTATTTGACGAATACGCATTTTTAGTATATTTGGTTTGGAAAATGATATTATTGTGCCATGAGACATTTTGAAAATATAAATAGTATGAATTCATTTGGAAAATGATTTGTCCCAACCAATTAAGGGTTTTTGAGTTAGTCGTACTCTTGGGCATGAGTTTGCTTATTTAGTGAGCAAATGCATTCTATTGCTTATGTTAACTTTTATTTGAGCAGTCAAACAAGTGTGGAGTTATTGAGTTGATTTTAACCATTTGAGTTTTGGGGACATTTTTTTGGTTTAAATTACTTATTATTGAGCTTGACCATATTTTTCATTTATTGCATTTCTATTTAAGAATTACATGTTTTGAGTGAGTTGGTCATTCAATTAGAGTTCATTTAGGGTGTGTTTACTTGTGGCTTAATGAGCTTAATCAATAAATGGGCTTATTCGCACAGCCAAAATGGTGTGTTTACTTGGGGCTTATTCGTCCAGAAATGGGCTTATTCACACAGACCAAAAATAGCCCTTGTCCACATTAAGCCAAAAAAAAGACGCTCAGGGGTAAAACACACGCTTATCTATCGATTGCGAGCTTCAAACTGATTGCGAGCTTCAAATCGGTAACGATTGCGAGCTTCAAATCGATTGCGAGCTGCTTCAGATCGATTGCGAGCTTCAAATCGGTAACTACTTCTCCACTATATCTATCGATTTTGCTTTTGAAAAAGGAACCCTAGTCGAAAATGATTGTGAAATCGATTGCACCTGATATTTTTGTTTGCTTTTGGTTTTGCTTCTCTATTATATCTATCGATTTTGCTTCTCATTGCCCGTTTTATAGAGATTTTGACAACCCCTGTGATTCATGTCAAGAACCCTAAAT